TCCGATAACAAACTGTCCAATAACAAACTGTCCGATAACAACTTGGCAAGTGAATTAGTGGAAAATAGGATATGGAGGGGTAAGGTACGATCCATTTCAGAACTTTGTCCCAAATCCCCTTCCATAATAGGAGTTTTTTAAACCAATCTCAGTCGAGGAAATTGTTATTTTTATGATAAACTTGTTAACGACGATCTCAGAAAAGTCTCAACCGCGCGCTCCACGCTTCTTACATCAACACCTACAAGCCACAATGAAAGCACAAGTAACAAAGTCCCGTTGGTATTAACGTATAATCCCATCCTACGTTGCTGCGAGGTTGACTGCGAGGTTGACTGGGAGATACTGGGTACCCTGCTATGTGCTACGATTTGCCACTACCGTAAATCCTCGAATTAGCGCCCGGGGCGCTTATTTCAAATTTAGGAGAAGACGGGGGGCGCTTATTTAATTTTTCCAAAATCATGGCCTGACATGATCATTTTTTTAATATATCATCTGCGCATAAACAACAACGTAAGCTGTTTATCGACATAAAAAGCAGAACCTAATAGAGCTAATGGAGCTTCCTAATAAAAGATTGTTACTACTAACCTAGACTTTAAATCGCACCGTTAGTACTTTTTACCATTAGTAATTTTTTTCCAAACTTAACGTGTTCACAAACTGAAAAAATGCTCAAATTTAATACTACACGACGAAAACTGGCCGAAGTTCCCTACCTTGTCTATCACCGTGGAACAAATTTTTCAAAATTCGCTCAAATGTCGTTTAAACTCTCTAGGATGAGAAAAAATGACACCATTAGATGTTCAAGAGTCTTTATTTGGTAAATTACCCATACATAGAACGAATTTAAATGTCAACTCCTGATCTCCGTACAACCTCTTATATTTTAGCCACAGTTCTCCATGCAAACTCTTATATTACGCTTGGGTGACCTGTGATTATAACAGCCAACTTCTAACTCTTTTGAAAAATGTTCCAAGATGTTTTTACTTTATTTACTGTTTGCTGAAGTCTTTTACCATTGTATGTGAAACTTGAACAATTAAACGTTACGTAATGGCCAAAATGAACGACCGAGTACCTGAGAAGAGACTGAGCACTAACAAGTTAAATCACGTTTTTCTCAATTTCTACCCATACGACCCCACCTCAAAATTTCAGGAATAAGCAATTGGCTCTGATTTAACATTCATGCAAAGTAAAATAAAAATCTTTAAGACAGATTTTTCGCAAACTAAAAAAATGTGAAATCAAAAATAGCTCAAAATAGGTCTTACAGATTTTTTTAAAAATTTTGGCTCTAAACGTGATTCACCTCTACAAATCAACTGTGAAATTTTCAGCATGGGTTGTACGGTAGGTTTTTGAGCAATACTCGATCAAAGACTGACTTTTACAACCTTGGACGAGAATTGAGTTGCGCACGCCCTTTATTTAAGCGCGCGCTCATGTGACGCCTTGTATCGCGTGCGAGAAAGCGAGAGTAAATTAGAGCTCTTTTAGCGGTTGTTTATCGAGCTTTTTTGTCATATGTTTTAGGCCCTAGGCATAAACATATGTTTAAACGGAGTTTGACACTATTGCTACGTATACTGAAGTGATTTAACGCTTTTCAAGGGCTGAAGTGGTTTCCGTTTTTTCTTAGGATCACTTGCGTCATTTTTGCACGCGCGATTAATACTGACGTTTGGCAGGCAATCATTGCGCGCGCTACTGAGTCTCCGAAAAACTGTAGTAAGCTTTAGTAAGCCACGTTTTTACGCGTCAGGCTTTCCTTTTGCAAACTCGCCAAACAAAAAGAAACAATAAGAAACTATCAAAAACAGATTTTGGTTATGATCAAGCATTGTTTGGGAAACTTACAAATTAACTCAAAAAATTAAAACTAAAAATTACTCCTATTTTCCACTAATTCATTTGCCAAGTTGTCATCGGACAGTTTGTTATCGGACAGTTCAATAAGCCAATCACATTCAAAGTTGTAGTTACGTGCGTGCGCGCGCGCGCTTTTGTGTTTTTGGTGCCTAATTGCCGGTAGGAGGCGCGGTGGCCTTAGAATGTTTATATCTCCTTTGTAGGTATTTTAATGCAAATTTCCCCTTTCTTTCATAGCTTGGCTATTCTTCTTTCCTCGGAAATTGTAATTTTTATGATTAATTGGTAATAAGACTTCGTGTCGTCCAATTCGGTCTGTAATCATACTCGTGATAAACAACTTGTTATCACTCTTATGATAACCGACCGAATTGGACTCCACTCAGTCCTATTACAATTACTTATCAGGGTAACCACGCACCCGGAAGTATTCATTCATCTCCATGGCTCTGTTCATGAAATCAGCATCATCAGAGCTGCTGCACAGGCGTTATATTAATGACGGACAACAAGGCGGACAAACTTATGCAACATATTGTGCGCAAAGTTCTATGACAATTTCTTTTCCAAAGTTAAACAAATCAAACTTTGCTAATTTCAAAAAAATCAGTAAAAACAAGAGAAAAAATTTAGGGAAAACGATCTTTGTTTTTCGGCCACCTCAATTTCAGGAGAAAGAGAAAACGTCATTTGAATATACCATGCGTAATCTATTTGTTATGTTTATTACCGCTGTTTGTTTTCTCTTTCTCTCTTTCTCCCGATGATCTTTGGTTGACAAGCTAGTGTCACTTTTGAAAGGCCTGGGACGAGCTTCGAAGATTCTCCGCACGTGGCAAAGTGCGCATGTTCCAAGCATGATGGTGAAAAGAGATGGCGGAGGATGAAGAAGATGACCCGGTCGTTGCGGAGGTTTGCTTTATCACGACTGTGGACAAACTTCCACCATTAACTAAGAGAGCAGTTTTATAAGGCATAGATCTTTCTAATTCTTCCATAGGTGGACGTTTATTTGGCCCAG